TTAGCATGGGTATGGGACAAGGTGCGTAAGATCGCTGGAAAGAGCACATCCATATCACCCCCTGCTCTGAAAATAGATGGCATAATCCTCACAGACAAAACAGATGTTGCAAATGAACTGGCAAAATCCATGGCAGAGATCTCGTCTGGAGCATCTTACACTGCCCGTTTCTCCACTCTTCGGGCTGAACAGGAACGACACCCAGTGTCGTTCTTCAGTAGCACTGCAGCAGAACTTCCATACAACTTGCCATTTTTGCGCAAGGAGATGGACTCTGCTTTGCAGCTCTGCCGTAAGACTGCCCCAGGAAGTGACGGTATTCCATACCAAATGATATCTCACTTACCAAAGAGCTCCCAAACGTTCCTGTTGGATCTATTCAATAGGATCTACAGGGAGGGAACAGTGCCATCCACATGGAAAGAAGCTATAATCATTCCTGTCCCGAAACCTGGCAAGGATGCTTCCATACCAGGGAATTATAGACCAATTTCTCTCACCAGCTGTATCTGCAAGTTGATGGAGAAAATGGTAAACTTCAGGTTGACATGGCTGCTAGAAAAAGAAAACGTGTTGACCCCATATCAATATGGGTTTAGAAAACTGAGATCGACCACAGATGCACTTGTGCGGATGGAAACTGCTATACAGAATTCCTTCACACAGCGACGCCATATGTTAGCAGTCTTCTTTGATCTTGAAAAGGCTTATGATACGACTTGGAAGTATGGCATACTCATGAAGCTGTATGACATTGGTTTAAGAGGAGCACTGCCAACCTTCATACAAAGCTTCCTTGCTAACAGGAAGTTTAGAGTGAGGGTAGGAAACAGCTTCTCTAACCTGGAAGATCAGCTGGAAGGGGTCCCACAGGGAAGTGTCTTAAGTGTGACCCTGTTTGCCATTGCTATAAATGACATCGTAAAGGTCGTTCCAAGTGCTGTCTCATGTAGTCTGTATGTGGATGACTTTACACTATACTGCTCAGGAGGAAGCTTACAGGATGTGCAAGGACACATGCAGACTGCAATAAATCAGGTTGTGCAATGGGCAACATACCATGGCTTCAAATTTTCTCCAAGCAAGACCATGGCTATGCATTTCCACAAACGAGGAAAGTTTCACCCTTCCCTCTATTTAGAAGCAAACCCACTGCATTTTGCCCAACAGATAAAGTACTTGGGTCTAATCTTTGACTCAAAGCTTACATGGGTGCCTCATATTAAACAGTTAAAGGTGAAAGCTACAAAAGCGCTTAGTATTTTGCGGGTTCTTTCACACCTATCTTGGGGTGCAGACCGCACAACGCTTCTGCGACTTTACCGAGCACTTATTCGTAGTAAACTCGACTATGGATGTGAGGCATATTCATCTGCAACTCCCACTGTTCTTCGGATGTTGGACTCGGTTCATAATGAAGCTCTGAGAATCTGTATAGGGGCTTTCAGGTCTTCACCTGTGGAGTCCCTGTATGCTGAGAGTGGAGAACCACCTCTTTCATTACACCGGGACTACATGAACCTGATTTATTACACGAGACTACAAAGGATTCCGGGATCTCCTACATCCAGATTGGTTTTCAACCCCCTTGAGGATAGCCGATCCTATGGTAGGAGAATGAGGAATCTTGTGGAAGATCTTAATTTAAATCTCACAAAGGTTCTGGCTGTTGGAACTTCCCCTTGGACTAATCAAGTCGAGCTTGATTTGGTCGGAATTGGGAAAGGGGAGAGATCCGAAGCAGAAGTCAGAGAGATATTTCTTCAACACACTTCAAAGTACCAGGGATCATATGCAATATTTACAGATGGTTCGAAATCTGAAAATGGTGTGGGCTTTGCAGCAGTGAGCAGAAGGAAGACTGCATCTGGCAGTCTTTCTCGATCAGCCTCGATTTTCACTGCAGAGTTACATGCCATCCTTGCAGCAGTCAAGATGACTAGAGATCTTACAAACCATTCTGTTGTAATATATTGTGACTCTCGTAGTGCCTTGCAAGCAATCAAGAGCTTAAACTCATCACATCCAGTGGTGAGGGAAGTTCAAGATTGGCTTGCACTGATGTCAGCACGTAAAAAGATAACTCTGTGTTGGGTGCCAGCACATGTTGGTATCAGTGGGAATGAGCAAGCTGATCAGAAGGCCAAGGCAGCTGCCGCTCAGCCTTGTGATGCTCGTTTTCCTCTCCCACACACTGACTTGAAACCCAGCATCAGAAGTTGTCTTCGTGATGAATGGAGGGAACAATGGAGGCATACCTCTAGAAATAAGCTACGAGAGATTAGAGATGACCTTGGCAGTTGGGTGACCAGCATCCATCGTAACCGACAAGTGGAAGTTGTATTAACAAGGCTGAGAATTGGGCACACAAGACTGACTCATGGGCCGATGATGGCTAAGAGTGAAGCACGCTGTGAGGGATGCCAAGAGCCATTGACGGTCGCGCATATAGTGGAGAGATGTGCAACATTCTTAGACCAAAGACGAAGGAACTTGTCTCCCCCATATACATTGAAAAATGTTTTGGGGGAGGATTGTGACATAGAAGGCTTATTAGTTTCCTTAGGGAAACTAATATTTTCAATAAAATTTAATTATGCATAATGTTTATGCAATAGTTTTTTTTTTGTTTGTTTTTTAAATTTAGAGCATAATATTTATGCTTTGGTTTTTAATATAATATTTATTGTTATTTATGACATTTATTGATAAATTTTTAACGTTTTAAATATTTTAATGTTTCAACCAAACAAGGTGTTCGCCGCTAATGACCTTAGCTGTTGACGCGGCAGATAATTTTAAATAATCAATCAATCAATCATTAACCATGTGTCTGTCTAATTTTTTGAAGACCAGCGTGAGCTTGGCCTTCATGTCGGGGGGAAGCACAGGAGTGAACCCTAGGTTTTTGAGCAAATCGACATTGGCGGAAGAGAAAAGTCTTTGGGCATGGTCGTCGTCATCAATAAGGGCAAGATATCCTACATGGATTTGGTAGTACCGGAGTACTCGGATATTGGCCTCAAAGAGAGCCTTGGCGAGGGCATCCCGCCGGTTAGGGTCGGGGCCGCCTTGGAAAATGATCTTAACCTTGATCATTTTGACATGAAGTGAGGTGAGATGAGGGGATGGGGGTGATTAGAGAGAGGTGAGAAGGGAATGGAAATTAGAAAAAGAGAGGTCCTAGACTCGGACCCCCTCTAGTGACAGCCTGGTTGCGTACTCCAGCACACTAGAGGATTGGAGTTTTTGTGGTGGTCTACTCCCTTGCTGCCAAACCTTGCTACAAAGGGGCAGTAGGTGAGAGCGCACCACCCAGACGAATACAAAAATCCAGGAGGATTTATGTAGGTCCAGATGGCCACAAGAAAGGGAAGAAGTTTAGGAGAGAGAGCACACCCAAAGGTCACCTCAGACTGCTGGGCCTCCCTATACAGGTTTCCCTGTGATAGAGAGTGCTGCGGGTCTGAGGAGAGGTGTATTAATCCCTTGTCACCGTCAGTAAGCAAAAGAGAGGAACCGCTGAGGGCAGAGGCAAAGCAAAAAATCTCTGAAAGCAGAGCTGAATTGCAAGACATTTACTTTAATTATATAGTGTATAATAGCAATAGGGGTCGCGGCGCGATTGAGGCCCCGGCAGACCAGGGTAGCTCAATGACACTTTGATTGTCCGTTTTGTTATTATGATAACGCTATTGGCATTGACTAGGTGAGCGTGGGATCGCCGAGCACTGGAGTGCAGGTGAACACTATTAAGTGTCACCGAAAGGGTAATTATGCCGAGTGAAGAAGAGCTGGGTCTCCTTATTAACGAGAAATAGACATACGTCTATGCACAAGCTAAATAGTGTCTCCAAATGGCAATTATGCCGAGCGAGGGAGTGCAGGGTTCGTTTAAAACGAGATATAGACGTCAGTCTATAAAATTCTCTCCCCCTGTCAGCTGGTACTGACTCGGCTTAGTCCTTACCCGCCGTGGTGCCCAGCCACATCACCAACCTCCAGGCGACAAGTACAACTTCCGAATCAAAAGTGGGATATAGCATATGTATACTCTCTCTCTCTCTCTCTCACTTTCAGTTCAGTTCAAAATTTGGGTTCGGTTTCTTGGTATATCCAAATGGATACTCGGAATGGCCTAGTAAGAGTCTTGATATGAACCCAATCGAACATGTATAGGACTGTATTGCAATGACCTGTGGGAGAGGGTAAAAATATAATGGTAAAAATATAGAGGAACAATATTCCTACTGACTATATAACTAAGTTGTATGAGTGTATAGAACGGAGAATCGATGCAGTGATACGGGCAACAGGAGGCTCTACAAGATATTAGAGCAATTTCTTTATGTAAAAGATGTTTAAATATGATACAAATGTTCTAATCGACATCTTTAATCATTCAGGGTATGTCTGTTGGC